GTGATTTAGAGGGGAGGTAGCCAGTCAACATCGCCCACAGCCAGCTCCATTTAGCACATCTAAATTGTCCCAGAAAGACTTGTTACTAACTACCTCCTAAAGTGGTCTTTTCTGAAAACTCGACTAGTCCATACAGTGGAGTAGCTTATACAGAGGTAGTTTAATCTAGGAGGGTCTGGGGGAATGTCCCCCCAAAATTAACATAATCATTTAATTTACGATAGCTATATAAGTCAAATATGCAAAAGTGGGGGTGCTACAGCTCCTCTTGTTCTGACGCATTCTGAGTCTATAGGCCTTAATCGACGTTTCAAACCCGATAAAAGGGTGTATTGAAGTTATAATGCCCAGTGTGTAATAACGCTTTTAACGCACTGGCAAATATAGGTATATAACAGTCCATTAAACAACAATTATAACTCATACACCAGAGGACTTAGGTATTTGTTTGTTTTGAATTTCGCGCAAAGCTGCACGAGAGCTAGCTGCACTAGGCCATCCATAGTTTAGTAGTGATCTATAGGGAAGGCAGCTGGCTAACACCACCCACTGCCAACTCTTGGGTTCTTCTTTTTCCAACGAATTGGCCATCACATCATAATCCCCCCCCATAACTGAAAGGGGCGAGCATGTTGGATGACGGGGATTCGAACCCGCTACCAACAGATTGCAAGTCGAGCGCCCTAATCACCAGGCCATGCCAGGTCTGTAACGCTAATACACGGTTATGAGCACATGATGGTCGTCTATAATGGACTTCATAACATATCCTGATAGATTATTATTATTGATACGTGATGGACCTCCGTTTGAGCAGACCAAAGTCACGAACGTCTGTTGGAGTTACATCTGGGGACTTGACAGGTATTTGGTTGACTGGGATCTCTTCCAAGTTCATCGGTCACCTTTCTCGTGAAACCAGCCATTTATTTCGAGGTAATCCTGTTATCCCATGAACCTTAACTTGTATCGGTCACCTTTCTCGTGAAACCAGCCATTTATTTCGAGGTAATCCTGTTATCTTACGATCCTTAACTTGTGAGCCTTCGTCGACTTCAAGTCCTTCAAAAAAGGCTTCATTACAATGTGTGTGTTTTTAGGTTGATGAAGTCTCTGTTACCTTCAGTTTATGGATAAGGGTTTTTGTCATGATTTACGGTGCTCACCATGTCACCCTAGGCACCAAAGCTTGCAATTGCGAGGAAACGCCAGAACATTAGTGCATGCTAATGGTTCTTATGAGACGACACACCAAAACATTAGTGCATGCAAGTGGTTCTTATAAATTTTGAATTGATCCAACGTATTCTTATGTGATTTAATCAATAGTACCTTCTCCGATCAATGGCAAGGCTGGCAGGAAACTCCGGTCCTCACCAACAGTGGAGTAGGTTCCGTTACCTGTTGTATGATAACATACTTCATATTGGAATTGATGTTTAAATTTGGACGGTTGCGGCCTAAATATTAGTGTGTTCAGACTGTGAATCCGAGTCCATTACCGCAAAAAACGCTCTGCACACTCTGAGGTCACCGATGTACTGTAAGTATACCAGTCAAATTCCACTGTTCGGTCAGATAAGGTTAGCCCAGGAATTAGCGGTGGTCCCTGTTGACTAGCTGCCTTCCATCTGGTCTATCAGCTCAGAATTAGGGATGGTTAGACGCAAATATCTGTTGTGTAGTTTTGAGCGAAATTGCTAACAACAAAGTTGTAGATTTTACACAGTTTTGGCCCAAATTTTTGTATACTGTTCTATGTCGATGTTATTGTTTACACGCATGGAGTAGTTATTGAGTAAATGCCCTAGTAGTATCAGAGAAGGTAGCGTATGATAGAACAAGCATGTACGAGTTGTGGTCCCGGTCTGTATAAGTTGTTTTGAGCATTTGTTCTTCAAAACACCCATACACACCAGTTTTTGTATAAAAATATGTGTTTTTGACACAATATTTTTCGAAACAGATCAACAATTTGTTAAGACAACTTCTCTGTACTTAGTGTAGAGTTATACCTCGTCATGTGTCAGAAGTTATAGGAAGTCAAATTGTTCGACTGTCTAGAAATGGTATGAAGGAAACAGAAATTGTAGAACAGTAGGGTACCTCCAATGTACTATATCCAGAATCCTGAAACGTCATCGGACTACAAGAATGGTAGATGCCGGAAAACTACTGCCCAAGATGACCGTGTTTTGATCAAGTTAACACGTCAAATTCGAAAGAAGTCTTGCAACACCTTACGACAGGAAGGCATAAGTACATTCATTCCAGAATATCCAGAAGAATAATGAATATGAGACTGACCAAACAAGGTTATTTTACAAGAAGGTCTATCTGCAAACCGATATTAACTAGATTTCACCATGTCAACGTGTTACTTGGGCAAGACAGCATGCCAACTTACAGTTAGGACATTGATGACATGTCGTCTTTTCAGATGAGTCCTGTTTCCGGCTTGTTAACGCTGATGGTAAGATTCGTGTTCGTCGTTTGCCTGAAGAACAGATGAGGGAAGACTATTTTTCCCACAGGGAACACACGGGTGATGGTTCCAAACATATTTCGGCAGCTATTCATCATTGTGAAAAACTGCTCTTCATATCGTCTAGGGAAACGTCAATGGCGCCTCCTACAGGAGACGATATTTTTGCAATATGCTAGAGCAAAGTTTGGCAATAACGTTATGTTCCAGAATGACAATGCACACATTGTGCGTATTGTACAGGATTAACTCAACCAGGAGGACGTTACAGGATTGCTATGGCCAGTAAAGGTTCCAGATTGTAATCTCATTGAGAACTGTTGAGCAGGACTGAGCCGGAAAATTGTTAACCACGACCCTAAACCAGCTACTGTATCTGAGTTGCAGAGTTTTCTAGCAACAGGTTGGGATGAAATCACGGTGGATTACATCAATAACCTCATCGATATCATGCCACGTCTCCTTGCGGAGGTTATTAGAGTACGAGAAGGACCAACCAAGTACTGAATGTTTAATATGAACTGATATAAGGTTACAGACACTATTTGTGATAATTTGATGTTATATTTTGTCATTATGAATGTTTTGGTAAGGTTTTGTTGTGACAGGTGAAATACTGAACTACACATCTTTCTACAGGTGTCTGATAAAATTGTTTGCTGTTCTATTAAATCGTTCATCATGTCCATAGAACCTGTCTCATTATACATATTACATATGTATATATGTAATATAACATGCATTTGTTAGTTTGACAGCACTAA